GCCCGCAGGCGCTTCAGGAGCCCGAGCAGGTGGTCCCAGGTGGCCGGCACCGCTGGCTGGCCGGCGGCAACGAGCTCGACCGACACGATCACGATCTCGAAGCGGCCTGGGGCCGCTGCGGATGTGGTGGTGACGGTACCGGCCAGGCTGCAGGGCGGGAGCAGGCGGCCGGCCAGCAGTCGATCGACGGTGGTGGTCTGGGGCTGTGCCTGGGCCTTGGGGAGGCTACCGCTGGCCTGGAGGGTGACGTGGCCGTCGGACGAGCACACGCCGCGCCAGCCGCCTTCGTCGGTGCGGACCACGGTGTGCTCATTGCCAAGGGCGTACCAGGGCAGGCTGCTGCCTGAGGAGGGCTCGTCGGTGCGCAGGCGGCCGTCGGCGGTCAGGTAGAGGGCGAAGGCCTTGGTACAGTAGCGCAGGTCCTCGCCTTCACCCTCCGGGTATATCTCGGTCGCGATGCACACCAACCGGGCCAGCACCTCCCCGTCCTCCACTACCTGACTGCTGGAACTTGACTTGTCGTTTCTCTGCGGTGCCTCCATCTTCTTGGTCTGCTCTCTTGGCAAAAAGTTTCTTTTTCAACTTTGTTTCTTTTTTGTGCGCTAAAACGTTTCAGCGAACCGTAAACGGTTACCCAGCAACCAAAAAACATGTGCTTTTGGGCGATCATTCCCTCTTGGGCAGAGAGTAGACGGTCCGCGCGTTCTCGGTGGTGGCCCGGATGACCTCGGCAAGTGAGATCTCCTTGAGTTCGGCCACCTGTGTGTGTTGGGGACACAATGCGTCCACGTGAGTGCAGTGTTTGTTGTTGAGCGCGTGCGTGCTTGCGTGCGTTGGACACCACACCTTCTTAGCGACGAGGGGAGTCATTGCCGGCTGGGCCACTTTTCCTCGGTGCGGCTCGGGCGCCATGCTGTCACACACGGCGCGCAATGTGAGCCCGGTGAGGTAGTGCATTCCTAAAAGCTCGCAACAACGTACAATGGGCAATCGGTTTCGAGAAGCAGCCTATTGAGAGGCACCATCTTGACTACCTCGGGCGCCCGTCCGGCCTTGGCGAACGTGATCGCGCCTAATGACCATCATCAACATCTGAGTTCCAAGCAACAATGATGGGTGCAAAGCCAAGGAATGTGCATACCAGTGAAGCCAAAGTAGACGTTGGGATAGAGGGCCAGCAGCTCGGCGGCCATCTCCGGGGACTCGCCGAAGCAGTGCATGTGGATCTTCCACTCGGTAGGCACGTGCTCTTTCAAGAGTCGCAATGTGTCCTGCTCGTTGTGGCAATGTTGATTGTCGGCAAAGTGCGATCGGTTCAAGATGAAGAGCTCTGCAAAGTACCGCTTCAGCGTCACGTGAGTGGATGACGAGCGGCTTATTGTGCTCCACAGCCTTCTGGAGCTGACGAGCAAAGACCGCCTTCTGGACCTCTTGCTCTGACAAGTTCTTGAAGAAGTCCAGTCCGCACTCTCCCTGCAAAAGTTGTTTTTGTTGTAAGAGCGAAGCCAATGAGCACCGTGAACGGCTAGCTCAGCGTAGAGTACCCAGGCCACGGTGCGCGGGTGGCTCATGGCCTGTTCGATTTCCTTCTCCAGCGCGTCGTCGTACTGCGATGCCGAGTGTGGATGCACACCGTACGTCATGTACACTCGCGAGGCAAACGAACCAGCTTCACTAGCTGCATCAAGAGACAATCAGCACACGTACTAGTGCTATCTCACCATCACACTCACACCCACACGCACACATGCGCGCGCACACACACACACACAAGCGTACTCGAGGCCAGGTCGGCTAGCCGGTGCGTGGGTTGGTAACCTCCGGGAAAGCAGCACACGTGCACGCACGCCTCCAATTGCATACGCGGCACTGCCACGGGTGGTGCTGGCGCCGGTGCAGCACCGCCCTTCCCTCCACGGCCTTTGCCTGTGTGATATTTATGATTATCATTTGGGTTCTATTTAAAATAAAAATATTTGTAAAATAAATATCGATGGTGGTGTGGGCTGCGGCTCGTACTGCATCACTCAAGTCTATTCCCTGTACATGACGGGCCACTGGGAGGGCTCTGGTACGAATGGGTCACACACTTGGGCCAATTGAATTGTATGCTGAGTTCGTTGCCTACAGGATGGCTTGGTGTGGCGGGATTGGCCGGTGGTGTCGGAGTGGCTGCTATCTTCACGAACACTTGGCTCTGCACCAATGTCAGCCCTTACCTGTCGGGCGAGTTCGTTTGGTACTCAGCCCCACTTTTCCCGATTTCTGTGCCTCATCATGTGGCAAGACAAGAGGCTGATACTGCGTGGTCAGGTTCCTGCTGAGCGATGTCGCAATGTGGGGCATCCTCAACTACTTCCTCAACCATCAAGTGGCGCTCACTCCCACCAAGGAAAAGGATCAAGTAACGTACAACAAGCTCACCAGTCAGGTCTAAGGGCTCCACGAAGATCGTTAAATTTTCCAATTTGGAAATTGCTTCGCCAAATTTTGGCCAAATTTTGTGTCGAATAAATTCGTAGAAGCAAGAAGGTCGTTGATGATAAACGGCCGCTTTCATCTGGATGAAATTTGCGTTTTCAAGATGATGCGAAGGGGTGAAGCAACTGGAGGAACAGGCGGGCCAGTAAAGAACAATCTGCAAGAGCAGCTCGAGTGGTTGCACAAGAATCATGCTGCTGCTCTCGCCGCCTGCTTCTCCTACTCAGTCGGCAATCGAGTAGCGGCCGGGGCCACTGATTTCAAATCGGCTGCCCCAAGTGGTACTTCCCACCAATTCGCGCCTACACCTTCGGCATCTCAAGCCCCAGGCGAAAATGGGGAGATATCAACGGAGGACGACCTCGATCTAGAGACCCGTCTGGCGGCCGAGGCGATGCTCATGAGCGAGAGCTGGGATCAAGGCCCTGAGGCAGAGGCATATGCAGAACCTAGCCGACCAAGTAATCAGAAATCCTACTTTCCATCATCTGCAGCCGATTTCGAGGATGATTTCGAGCCGCAACCGCCTCCTTTCTTCTCACGGCAGTCGAAAGGCGCACAGCAGCAGCAAGCTCACAAGTCCTCGTCTTCGCTCTCTACCACCTCTTCGAGCGGCAGCGCAGGCAGCGCCACGACGTCTACTGCGAATCGATAAAGTACAACTGTTCACTTCCGTCTCCTTCCATCTCTTGAGGTCAAGATATTGTCTTCTCGGCCAGGTTTCATTTTGTCGTGTAACTAAAAATGATATTTATATTTATGCGAATTGTATCTTGGAAAATTGTCTGGGCGCCTCTTGGGCGACATACCAATCATTCCACACACATCGGACGGCACCCAGATCCAGCCGCTCAGCGCCTGGACTTCTTGCTCTCGTCTCCCTCGAAAGCTGCCTTTGCCTCCTCGAAAGCTGCCTTGTCCTCCTCGAAAGCTGTCTTGTCCTCCGCGAAAGCTGCCTTGTCCTCCGCGAAAGCTGCCTTGGCTGCCTCGAAAGTGATCTTCTCTTCGGCGAGCTTCGCCTTCTCTGCCTCGAGAGCCTGCTTCTCGGCCTCCAGCTTGGCCTTTTCATCGTCGAGCACCTTTTTCTCGTGGTCGAACGCGGTCTTGGAGTCCTGGACCTGCTTCTTCGCGTCCTCCATGTCGGCACGGTCCTTCTCGAGCTTGAGCGCCTGTTGGTTGTTGGCCTCGTGCTTCTCCTTGATCAACTTGTCGAACTCCTTACGCTCGGCCTGCAGCGCCTCCCGGTCGGTGGCCAGCGCCATCCGATCTTGTTCCACCGCAGCGCGCTCCGCGTCGATCACCTCCAGCGTGAGCCGGCGCTGGGTGAGCTCGTTGCCCGCCCAGCTCCACCCGTAGACCGCCAGGCCCAAGATGAGAGCCGTCATGACGATGATGGACACGAATCGGGAACATCCTCCGCTACGCTGTGATCCGGCTGCCATGATCGATCTTCCTCGACAGATAAATCAAGGATTGGTCAGACGCAATCTATCAGATTAAGAAGAGATGTGGTTGCATTTTGCATCTTTCTACGGAGAGGCCATCTAAAAGGCAGCAGCAAGCCGCAAGCGATCTCAACAGATAGGGAGAAGAGAGTACCTTTGGACTGGTAACTTGGAGGAGCGCTTGAGGCTGTCGTTCAACAAGAGAAGAAAAAGGGACTGGTGAAAAACCCAAAAGGGAAACTAGAACTTGGACGTGGTTCAGCTGGCGGTTTGGGAGTGGTATCGATCGATGCCTCTGCCGCGAGACCCATCAAGGTGCCCAAAGAGGCGAACAAGAGGGGGCAACAAGAGGGGCTTGTTCCGGTCGCGCAGCCTGACCTGCGCTTCGTTATTTTTAAATTATTTTTTAAATTATGCAATTTTATTGCGGGGGGGGCGGAGACTTGGGGTCTTCGCCGGCGCTTCGGCCCTTCTTTGTTCTTTCGCTACGCCTATCGCCCACACACTCCTTCGGCCTCTCGCTGTTCCTCGGCGCCACACTGGCAATCAAATGGCGCTGTGCGTACACACCTTCCGCGAAGGCGTTTTGAGCGACCTGTAGGCAGTGAAGCAAGGCACATGCATCTGCAAAGAAATGGTACGCAGATCACATCTTGCTGCTTTGTCTCGGCCACTGCGCTAAGGATTACACTTTACCGCTATCAGCCGCCTTTGGCGGTGTATGTAGACTAACATTTTGCCGAAATGAAGCACCCCATTTTCATTGTGTTGTGCTGCCTGCGTGAAGAATTCACTGACGCTCTTGCCAATTCCACAGATTTCCCGCATGCAGCACTGATAATTTGGCCGCAACTCCGCCGCGAGATAATGAGATCAGCACTTCAATCGCATGGTACTGCTCATCCCCCGGAGGGTGCCCCTCATCGCCCTCTCTTTCGTCACCAACAAGAGCACGCAGC